TTAAAGAGCAGCGCAGCCGCAAGCTTGCACACAGTCTGCGCGGCAATTAAAACATCGCCCAGGGCCTGCACTTGATCTGGGGAGGGTACTTCGTGCAGGCGGGCACCAGCCTTCGCGGCCTGATCAGCCTGGAAATTTCCTCTGCGGAGCTGCATTTACTCCTTGGGCACACCCTCCCCCTCGAGGGAAAGGTGTGCTTTGACTTTCCTCACAGGCTGTATATAGTGAGACACTCTCTGACCGTGCAACAATAGCCCAGCATAGGGCCTCTGGTAATGTAACTGGTCACCCAGGGGTCGATTAGCCTGGACGTAAACATTGGCACAATCAGTATACATATCACACTGGCCTTCAACCACCTGGCTAGAGCACCCAAAAGCAGCAAACTCTCCAGCCTGGGAAGTTTGGGGAAGGCCAGCATAAACGGTGCCGAAAACACGTCCCAGGAACCTGAAAGCCCGATCGAAAATCGCAAGACCCCCGGCCGCCCTGTTGAGTTCTGGCACAATATACCTGGTACAGCTCCCGTCCAGGAACAGCTCCCCCATCACCACCTGCTCATCCTCCTTGACATCCTCCTCCCATTGCCACAAGGTCTTACACTCCTTGTCGGGTCGGGGCCAGTAGTCACCTGGGTGCGGGAAGATGCCTCGGGTGAGTAGGAGAAGATCTTGCTGGTTTTCTTCGTCCATAGAGTCCACAAGCTCCTGGCACTTCTTCGTTACTATCTCAGCTCGCTCCTCAGCACAAGCCTTGCAATGCCACAGTATGTGCAGCAGCGTGTCTGGCCCTTGGCCGCACAACGGGCACTCGACAGATTCAAGCTGATATCCAAGGCAGTGAGCTCTGACTCGAGTCCAGCTGGCATCACAACCGATAACTCTGATGGCAGCTTTGCCAGACGGTGAAACCTTGCTCGAGTGAAGTGCACGCTTGAGCACATCGTAACATAACCTCGGGACCTCCAGGACTGATTTTTGGGCAGCAACCCGCTCCAGGCTCCGAAGCACAGCATGTCGCAACAAAACCTTCAAAAGCCCTGGGATGACCTCCGTTAAAACCAGCTTCTCCCCGAAATCATTTTCCAGAGTGACCCAATCTATGACCTTCCACTGGGTTCTCTGTAGGCACATGTACATGGCCGAGAACGGACCGTGACCTCGCGCCAAGTAGTCGGCGGCTTCTTCTGGAAGAACATGCACCAGGCCTCGCGGAGCTCCGCGAAACTGAAACACCAACGGTATGCGCCTGCATGGGCACACCAGAGTTCCTTGGAATATCTTACAAGAGGTGCCACCGCCGCGAGCCATGTAGGCTCGTCTTCCATGATTAGGAGGCTTGTGAGAGATCTCCCTTTGCAACTCGGTCCCATCACGGAACTAGCCCGCTGCCTAATACGGCGGAGCTCCCCGTCCGAAATCCCATGGCACTCGGATCCATACAGGACCCCAGGAAGCGGCCCCGAGACCCAGATCTTTTTGGCATGGGAGGTGATATGTTGTTTCATGCCCCTGACCTTGCGCGTTTTAGCCTTCATATTGACCATGCGTATCTTGAACTTGGACTCTCTGAGGGCCTTCTTGATATACGCTTTCCTTCTGGACCGACCAGCAGTAAAATCAATGCCAAGATCCACGACGCTATCGCACAGGGGTCCCGTGCGGTCGCCGAGGAAAAGCTGAAGCTCCCTGGCCACCGATCCGTCCGAGCAGACAAGGTTGCCCTGGCCAGTCTTGGAGAGCGAGATCGAGCAGCCGCACTCGTGGACCAGCGCGAAGGAGGAGGAGGGGGAGGAGGAGGAGGAGGAGGAGGAGGAGGAGGACGACGAGGACGAGGAGGAGAGGAGGGGAGGAGGAGGGAAGGAGGAGGGAGGAGGCAGGAGGAGGAGGAAGGAGGAGGAGGAGGAGGAGGGAGGAGGAGGAGGAGAACAGGAGGCGGAGGAGGAAGAGGAGGAGGGAGGAGGGAGGAGCGGAGGAGGGAGGAGGAGGGAAGGAAGGAAGAGGGAAGAGGGAGGACGACGAGGAGGAGGAGTAGGAGGAGGAGAGGAGGACGAGGAGGAGGAGGAGGGAGGAGAGAAGGGAGGAGGGGGGAGGAGGAGGAGGAGGAGGAGGAGGAGGAGGAGGAGGAGGAGGAGGAAGAGGAGGAGGAGGGAGAGGGAGTTGAGTGGGGAGGAGGAGGAGGAGGAGGAAGACGACGACGACGATGATAACGACGACGACGATGAAGTCCCGACGGGACGAGGAAGTTCCTTTCGCTCGGTCGCGCAAAGCCCGGCCGCGCTCCGCAGCCTTCGGCGGCGAAGGCGCCCCCGAGGGCCGCGAGGCCGTGGGGTTGCCGCCTGCCTTCGCCCTCGCCTGCTGACGTCGGCGGTCCTCCTCCTCATCATCATCATCATCATCATCATCATCATCATCATCATCATCATCATCATCATCATCATCATCATCATCATATCATCAGCATCATCATCATCATCATCATCATCATCATCATCATCATCAGCATCATCATCATCGTCATCTCAAATAATCATCATCATCAGCATCACCATCACCATCACCATCACCATCACCATCACCATCATCATCATCATCATCATCAGCAGCATCATCAGCATCATCATCATCAGCATCAGCATCATCATCATCATCATCAGCATCATCCTCAGAAGCATCAGCATCAGCATCAGCATCATCAGCATCATCATCAGCATCATCCTCAGAAGCATCGGCATCAGCATCAGCATCATCAGCATCAGCATCCGCATCATCAGAATCATCAGCATCACCGCCACCATCATCATCATCATCATCATCATCATCATCAGCATCATCAGCGTAATCAGCGTCATCAGCATCATCATCATCATCATCATGATCAACATCATCATCAGCATCATCCTCAGAAGCATCAGCATCAGCATCAGCATCATCAGCATCATCATCCGCATCATCAGAATCATCAGCATCACCGCCACCATCATCATCAGCATCACCAGCATCATCATCATCATCATCATCATCATCAGCAGCAGCATCATCATCATCATAGTCGTCGTCTTCTTTTCCTCGACGTTCGTCGTCGCATGCCTTATAGTCCTATAGTCCTCCTCCTCCTCCTCCTCATCATCATCATCAGCATCATCATCATCAACATCATCATCATCCTCAGAAGCATCAGCATCAGCATCAGCATCATCAGCATCATCATCCGCATTATCAGAATCATCAGCATCACCGCCACCATCATCATCAGCATCATCAGCATCATCATCAGCAACATCATCATAGTCGTCGTCATCGTCGTCATCATCGTCATTATCATCGTCATTATCAGCATTAATATCATCATCTTCATCATCATCATCAGCAGCATCATCACCATCACCACCAGCATGCTCCTCCTCCTCCTTCTCCTCTTCTTCCTCCTCCTCTTCCTCCTCCTCCTCCTCAATTCTCCATCATCCGTCCTCATCCCCAATCCTCCATCCTCCATCCTCCAACCTCCATCCTCCATCCTCCATCCTCCATCCTCCACCCTCGATCCTCCATCCTCCATCCTCCATCCTCCTCCTTCTCCTCCTTCTCCTCCTCCTCCTCCTGCTCCTCCTCCTTCCCCTCTTTCTCCTCCTCCTCCTCCTCCTCCTCCTCCTCATCCATTCCTTTTCCTTGTGAATAACTTCTCCCTGTCGCACCCCGAGGCTAGTTTTTAGATCGGGCCGGGCGTTTCGCTGAGACTTCCTCACCATCTATGACTCTGAAGCTTGAAAAAGGCAACCATATCATAGATGGAAGGCGGGTCGTTGGCAAAATGTGGCTCTCGCCTTAGCGCCGCGCACACTTTTTTGTGTTTAATCTGCATGAGTTCTACGGGTTTAGAGCGATTGTTCCCAAAATGTGGATCTCGCCTTAGCAACCGCGCACATTCGTTTTTAAACATCGCTAGAGCTTCTCGGATTGAGGGCGGGTCGTTTTCAAAATGCGGCTCTCTCCGTAGCGCCAAGCACATTCAATGTAAACATTTGCAAGAGCTTGTCGGAGTGAGGGCGGGTGGTTTTCACAAAAAAGCTCTCGCCTTAGCGCCGCGCACATTCGTTTTGAACATTTGCAAAGAGTTCCACGGGTCGAGGGCGGGTGGTTTTCGAAATGTGGCTCTCGCTTTGGAGCCGCGCACATTCGTTTTGAACATTTGCAAGAGTTTCACGTGTTGAGGGCGGGTCGTTTTCAAAATGCGGCTCTCTCCTTAGCGCCAAGCACATTCAATTTAAAAATGTGCAAGAGCTTGTCGGAGTGAGGGCGGGTGGTTTTCAAAATGTGGCTCTCGCCTTAGCGCCGCGCACATTCGTTTTATATTTTATACATTTGCAAAGAGTTCCACGGATTGAGGGCGGGTGGTTTTCAAAATGTGGCTCTCGCCTTAGCGCCGCGCACATTCGTTTTGAGTTTCCTGGATTCCCACGATCAACATATCAGAAATGGCGTTTTGGAAGGATTCACGATTACGCGGGTGCAACAATCATGTTGATTCGCGGTGTTGAAATCCGAAAAATGGCGTTCTGGCGCGATTCCAGATCGTCAGGACGCAGCAAACAGGTTGATCCGTGGCGTGGAAATCCGGAACAATGTTTTGGCATGCTTCAAGGCTTCAATCGGTTGTCTTCCAACGAGGCAGCTTCCTCAATGGAAATGAACCGGTATAGGGGCTTATGAACAGGCAGCTTGGAGAGAGGGTTAATTCCAACATCATTGATGACTCTTGGCTTCACACTGGTCCTCCTCCTCCTCCTGCTCCCCCTCATCCTCCTCCGAGGGCCCTAGAACGGGGCCCCACTCTAGGGCCTTTTTCTTCACCCTCCAATCTGGGTCACCCCCATCACCACCCGCCCCATTCTCACGAGGCTCGGAAGGCCCCCGAGGACAGGGGCGGTTTCTCAGAGGGCCGGAGGGCTTGTGAGAGGCCCCGCCGCCTCCTGAGGAGGCCCGCCCCCTCTCGCCTCCCACTCAGGGCTCGCTGCCGATAGCGGGGGTCAGCCTTCTGCGGATCAGAGTCTGCGAAAGGCAAACTAAGGAACATCTGTTCTGAGAAGCATGCTGGCCTGGGCGAAGCATTTCCACAGGAACTGCATGGGCAAATCCACAGAAAATGTATGCTTGATACAAGCATGGACCCGAACGAGGAACATCCAAGGAACTTGACCGACGGCAGGTTCGTGTCGTGCCGATTTCGGTATTTGCTTCTGACACAGCGGGGATCGTTCAACCCTGAACGAGCGGCCGCTTCCGAAACATCAGATCGTTCAACAGCGATCGATTCTGGGTCGCCGGCGACGTTCAACGTTGAACGCTGGCGGTGGGGTCGCCGCCGGTCAACACGACGCGAGCCTAGTGAGCGTTTTGTAATTCGGCGTTTCGACATTGGGCGGGAGCGGGGGGGGGAGAGGGGGGTCTGGCTCCAGGCCTCTGCTTAGTGCGACTGTTTGCAAGAGTGCTGCATCTGGGGGAGACTCCACCCGCTCGAAACAGGCGCCAAAAAACAGCCAAGATCTACTCCAGGGGGGGAAGTGCGAGGCGGGGATTTGTCCATATCCACCGCCTGGGAACCGACGTCCTGGTGCCCTGGCGGGCGGTGGATATGGATATATTTTGGCCCCCGGGGGCCCGAATATGTCTATATCCACCGCCTGCCGAGGTCCCGAAAATGGATCCTCCAGGCGGCGGTCATGTATGAATTCCTGCCTCGGAGGAAGGGGGAGAGGGGGGGGGAGGACGGGTTGTGGGGCCCGCGCCGATCGGCAAAAGAAGGAATAAAACAAACACGATCACCTGCCGCACCTGTTCCCGACCCCCAGAAGGCTGACCCCCACGAGCAGGCGAAGGACCTCCTGCGCCGCGGGGGGTCGAGCCCCAAGATCCTCCCGTTCGCGGTGCCGGCAATGGGCGACGACAGAGGGGGGGGGGACTGGCTCCAGAGGGGGCACACCAACGAATAGACGTCGTTCCACGGGAAGAGGGTCCAATCCGACAAAAATCCGCGGAAGACCCCTGGACAACCCAGACAGCCCGTGTAGGGCCGATACCACGGACAACCCAGCGGGGATCCCGACAACCCCACCGGACAACCCCCTTTGGACGAACCTCCCCAGGATATTCGACCCTCAGACATGAATCGCAGCGATCCCCATAGTTGCCTTCGGATGTTCGCCTTCCCCTCATGAGGTGCTCCCTCCTGGTCAGGGAGGGGCGTTTCGGGTTCAAGGTTTGAGTATCGTTTAACTTATCCCCATCCCCAGCGGCGTGGCCTGGGCCCCACTGGCAGATGTACCCCCCTAGATGGGGATACAGGTCGCTCCCTTCGGGCTTCGAGGGGTGCATCCCCAACTGGGGGGTACTTTGGTGGGGGTCTCGAAAGGGATGGGGATGGGGACGGGGGTCGGATCAACGATACGGATTTTCGGACTTGCGCCTCTGCTCGCGGCGGCTCCTCCGGCAGCTGGAGACCCCGGGTGCGCTCCGGCAGCCGCGCCCCGCCGAGAGCCTTCCGCGGGCGCTGCCCGGACCGTCCCCAGCGGCCGCTGGCTGCCCGAGAGCTGTGGCCAGACAGGTGGTTACGTCGGCCTGGAAGCGGCGATGCCTCGCCGACAGCTCGGCGACGGGCCCCCGACAGCGAGGGCCGCACGGTCCGGGGTCCCGGGCGGGGTGGACTTCTCTCGGGCCCCCCGTCGGCGATCCATGGGCGATTGGGGGGTCCATGCGTGGGCCCAATGCCCCCCCCCCCCCCCCCGGAGCCTCTCCCCCCCCCGGATGTTGCCCCTGAGGTGCCACGGGCCAGGGTCGGGGTAGAAAGGGGGGCAGCAAACCCTGAGATCCGACGTTGCCCCAAGAACAGCCTCGCGGAAAATCACGACCAGAGCCCTGGACCCCACCTTCCTGCAGCATCTCTCTACCCCGATCGATCTGTGAGGGCCCCCAGGGCCAAAATATAGGCCGGAACGCCCGGTGTGCAAAAATTGCAGCGCCCGGGTCTCAGGGCGAGCGGAAACAAGGGCAGCTCAAAGACGGTTCGGGACCCCTCCCGGGGTTCGAGTAGGGGATCGACTACAGAACTGATTTGCCCCAGAATTGATTTTCCTTGTCGAGTCCATGGAAAATTTGCGGACCTTTCGCAAATCTCCGAATATTCTGCGTAAGTTTGTTTGAGACTCGACGTGGAAGTCAATTGTGGGGTAATCGATTCCGTAGACGATTCAAAGGGTCCAACCGCACCATCGGGGATCTTCTGACCCGGGTCAATCCAGACCCGGGTCAGCAGGAAAGCAAAAACTGCAATGCAGGAAAAAAAACCTGCAACGCAGGTCTTCGCAAACCTGGGTCAGCCAATACGCGCGGCCGCCTCGCGGCCACGAGCGGCTCGCTAACCCGGGTCAGCCAGGGGGGGTCTTCGCAGGATCCTGCAGGATCCGGTGCCCTGGCTGACCCCCGTCTGCACTGACCCCCGTCTCGAGGCTCCCGACACCAGTTCTCCGAGCTGCGCCCGGCCGTGGCCACGAGGGGCCCCCCCGGAAGCCAGCCGCCGTTGCCCTCGCAGGCCGCCCTCCTCGGAGCTACTGAGGGCTCCTGGGTGGGGTCCAGGGCGCAGACGGGGCCCCCGAGTTACCAAGGGCCCCCGAGTTACCAAGGGCCCAGGACCTGGATGGGGTCCAGGTCCTCTGAGTTACTAAGGGCCCCTGAGTTACCAAGGGCTCCTGGACGGGGCCGGAGAATCGCACCGCATCGCCGATGTATCGGCGATGCCTCGGCGCCGTCGGCGTGGAGAAGCATCGCCGATGCATCGGCGACGCATCGGCTGTGCGGCGCACGATCCTCCCACACCACCTGCTCGGGCCCCATGCAGAAGGCCTGCAGTCGGGGCGCTGACCTAAGGAACCCTACGTGAGGAACGAGGCCCCTGTTCTCCACCAGCTAAACACCGATTTCCCACCGAGAGCCTAAGGAACACCTAAGGTGAAGTCGGGCACGTCCCCCTACAGGTCTCTTCTTGGACGGCAAATGATAGACACTAAATAATATCAAAACATCTGCAAACACAGTCAAGAAAAGCATCCCCATGCTGTTCTCAAAATATGTTTGAAACTTCCTCCTGCAGAGGGACGTGTCCGACTTCAAACGAGAAGGTTGCAGACCCCCCTCGCGTCCTGCAAAACAACGCCGCGGGCGGCCCTTGGCTCTTTCCCGAGCTCTGGTGGCCCTCGCGCTGGTCCCCGCAGGGCCTCCGGGGAACCACGCTGCCCACCGACAACGACGTCGGACACGAGAACGGCGCAGAATGCACCGTGCTATGTCTGGACTTCCTGGGTTTTCTTTGGGGGGGGGCTGTTTTCCCCTAGAGCCCCCTCCCTCAAAGTCTGGTTCTGAGGAGGGTCACGTTCTCTGTTGACCCAGAACCCCCCTCGGAGCAGGATTTGGAAGGCTTAGGCGGGCTTTCCCCCCGGAAACTTCCCAAACCCTCCCTCAAGATTTTTGTCGGTTTGGGAGCTTACGGGATTTCCTCTCCGGAACCCTCCCGGAGCCCCCCACAAGGAGGTTCTTTGGGGGCCATGCTCAATCGCGGTATGGCTCATAGCTTTTCGGCTCCGAGTGCCGACAGTTGACGCCCGTACCAGAAATTGCTGGGTTGATAATTGACGCCGCCTCAGGAGGCGCCAACGCATGACAGTAGGTTTGCGCGGCGTAGGCGCGCGCACAGGTTTTTGACACCGCTTCGACCGTTCAACCTTGAACCGATCGCGGCCCTGATCGTTCAAGATTGAATTCCGTTGGGCCCCATTGCGTTACCGTGTCCATCGGCGCTTCCGTGTCGCAGAATTCAGCCTCAAACGCCTTCGCTAGCGTCGCCGGCGCGCCAACGCCGCGTGAACCTGTCGTACGGTGCACACACGTTGTCCGCAGATCGCAGGCCTGGGGTCAGCAAGCCAGCTGCATGCAGCTGGCTTTCGTGGCACCTCCCCGCGAGGCAGCGACCACGCATCGAGGAGAAAGTTCACATAGCCTCATCTCTATCAGGGAGGCGTCGTGACCGAAACTGTGCCCGGATCTCTGCCCACGTGTGACCGAAATTTGCGCCCGAAATGTCTGGCCGCGCCCGAGTGTGACCAAACTGTTTGGCTCGAAACCAAGACGATTTCCAGTTCGGTGACGAATACATGATATTTTCTGTCACACCTTCGGGCACGTTTTCGGTCACCGATTTGTTTCTGTCACCTACCATTTCGGCTGATAGGGGCCTGGTGCCATGAACAGGCCTGACACGAAATAAGACGAAGCACGGACAGGGACAAAATAGGACAGGGATACATCGGTGATCTCTGAGATCCGGCGGTTCTGGAAAATGTATCGGGCGCCGCGGCCGTCTCAGAGCGTTCCGGAACGCTCTCAGCGTGGAACGATTGCATCTGTGTCCTTGCCCCGCCCGAGCGAATCCCCCCTTTTGTCCACCCCGACAAGGGCCTGAAGAGACTCGACGAGCCTGTAATCGCTCTCGAACACATAGTGGGGCTCTGAAATGGCCCCTTCGCTGCGAGGCCGCGAAAAACGCGGCCAGCCAGAAACTCGTACTAACGTGAAAAAGAGCCCGCGGTTGCAGCTGCAGCTTCGCTGCAGCTTGCGGCCAAGGCGCGTCCAACACTCGGGAGGGGCACTCGAGGCAGCGACGGCTCTCACGCCTGGCCCATGTCCGCACACAGGAGGCCACATGCGAACCCTACCCCGACTCCCCACGACTCGTAGGGTTCGACTGGGGGATCGACAACAGAATTGATTTACCCCAAAATCGATGTTCAGTTCGACTCTTCAACAAAAACACGTAAACCATTCGTAGATCTGCGAAAATTGTTTTCGAATTGCCCATGGATTCGACAAGAAAAAACAATTCTGGGGCAAATCAATTCTGTAGTCGACTCCCTACTCTCAGGGTAGGAAGGTGGAGGTGGGGGAGGGTTTGCACGTAGCCTCCTAGCACAGAATCGGCCCTTCAGGTCCAACTGTTCGACGCGGGCCTAGCCGTGGTGTCAGGAGGCCCCCACGAGACCAAAAAAACAAAGTGTCCTGGCGAAGGACCCTACCATGCGCAGTTGTGAGTACCGCGTTGAAGGTAACGCCTTCGGTGGAGCTCCCTATGGGGCCACGAACAGTATGAGGGGTGTGCCACAATGGGCGTCGGGCGCATGTGGCCTGTGCCACTAAGGCCTTCGGTGGAGCGCTCTATGGGGCCACGAACCGTGTGAGGCGTGTGCCAAAATGGGCGTCGGGAGCATGCGGCCTGTGCCACTGGGGCCTTCGGTGGAGCTCTCTATGTGAACACGAACCGTGTGATGGGTGTGCCAAAATGGAGGCGTCGGGCGCATGGGCCTGTGCCACTGTGGCCTTCGGTGAAGCTCCCCCTGGGGCCACGAACCGTGTGAGGGGTGTGCCAAAATGGGCGTCGGGAGCGTGCGGCCTGTGCCACTGGGGCCTTCGGTGAAGCGCTCTACAGGGCCACGAATCGTGTGAGGCGTGTGCCAAAACGGGGGCGTCGGGCGCATGCGGCCTGTGCCACTGGGGCCCTCGGTGGAGCGCTCTATGGGGCCACGAACCGTGTGAGGCGTGTGCCAAAATGGGGGAGTCGGGCGCATGCGGCCTGTGCCACTGGGGCCTTCGGTAGAGTTACCTATGGGGCCACGAACCGTGTGAGGCGTGTGCCAAAATGGGCGTCGGGCGCATGCGGCCTGTGCCCCTGGGGCCTTCGGTGGAACTCTCCATGGGGCCACGAACCGTGTGAGGGGTGTGCCAAAATGGGCGTCGGGCGCATGCGGCCTGTGCCCCTAGGGCCTTCGGTGGAGCGCTCTACAGGGCCACGAACCCTGTGAGGCGTGTGCCGAATTTGTCGACGTGCGGCGAGCAGAGGCAAGGGATGGGAGGAGGGAAGAGGAGGTGAGCGTGTTCTTCTTCGGCGTTTCGACATTGAGCGAAGAGGGGGGGAGGGGGGGGTCTGGCTCCGGACCTCTGCTTAGTGCGACTGTTTGCATCGGTGCGTCCTACGAGGGCAGACTCCACCTTCTTGAAACAGGCGCCAAAAACAGACAAGATCTACTCCATGGAGGGGGCAGGGGGGGTGTGCGAGGGCCTGCGCCGATCGGCAAAACGATGAAGAAGAAAACGATTACGAGAGGAGGAGAGGAGACGCGGGGCACCGTCTCTGCAAAGCGAGGACCCCACATCCCAGGATGGCTGGGCATGACGAGAAACGCCAGGGAGGGCCGCCACTGCCTCGGTTGGCCCTCCTCCCAAAACACACGTTGGCCCCGCCAGGACATCCACGGGGGCCCTGCGTTTGGCAGGTCCCGAAAAACCTGGCGGGCGGCATCTCTGAGGCGGCGCTGCCAAGATGCGAGGCGCCAGCTGCTGTCACATTGGTGTGAAAAGGAGCACGGCAGGTCTACGCCGCGGCGACGTCGGCGCTGGTTCCTGACACGATGAATCGCTCACTCTTGAAAGACTGCCACTGCCCGATGTCGGGGATCGTGAGGTACTGGCCGTGTTCAGATTGGAGGCGGGCAGGGGGTCTGAACTGGTTGGGGCACCAGAAAATCGGTCAGGAGTTTAGGATGAGGCCCAATCCGCGCAAAATCGGTCCCCGAGCCCCTCCTGGGGTCCATCTGGTGCAATTGTTCCGACTGGATACGCTTTTCACGGCCCCGGAGCCCGAAACCGGCTCCCAGATGCCCTTTTTGCTGGCCTGAACCAGTGCTGGGCCACCTCAAACCCCCAGACGGCTCCAATACAGGTGGGCGTTCTTGGGAAAAACAAAAGGTACCGATGCCCCGGACCTCTCCCAGGGTGCGTTCTGACCAGAATTTCGAGGCGAATCTAGCGGTGGCGACGAGGCCTCCCGGGAGGCCCAAAGGGGGGAAAACGGGCGAAGAGTAGGGATGGGTGTACCTTTCCCTCTTCCGCGTTCTCGCCACGCTCGCAGTGCGTGGGGCCGTGCAGCTCTCGAGCCCAGGGGCTTCCCGCCGTGGGTCTCCGCAGAGAGGCTATTCTGAAGCCAGACGGAGCGAGCCCAGACGGGGACCGAGAACGCCGTTGGAACTGACTCCGCAAGTGACTCACGGTCGGCCCGTACTATCGGGATGCGCGAGAAGGGATGTAGGGGCCTTGGACGCTCCTTTCGGAGCTTTTCGAGCGGGGCACGGCCAACGAAAGAGGCCAAGGGTGGACCGAGAAGGCAAGGATGCAGGGGTACCCTTGGGAAGGTTGCCTGCCCATCCTTACGGTACGGGTTGGCTGCAGCCTCCCACCAGGAGGCAAAACACAGAGACGGAGCAAGGCCATACGGAAGCCGAGCACTCCGTGTGGGCTTACTCCGCATGGACCGAACATCCTCCGAGGGTCGGGGGCCTGCGGACCTGGGTCAAGCCAGACCCAGGTCACGACTACCTACCAAACCACCCCAACCCAACCCGAAGACCCCAATTTCGGGTTGGGGGGGTACGGGTTCCATGTGTGTTTCAGTGTTCCCCGACCCCCCCCACACTGGAAATGGAGGGCAAATTGAGGCCGTCGGGTTGGGTTGGGGTGGTTTGGTGGGTGGTGAGGTCAGTCAGGCCTTGCAGGATCCTGCCGGATCCTGCACCCAAACCCGGGTCAGTGTGACCCCCGCCCTGCGGGATCCTGCAAGCTGCGGCGCTCCGACGGACCCCCGCCTGCATGGACCCCCGTCTCTGGAGCCCCGAGGGCCACGTGCTGTCGGCTCTGGGGCCCGCCGTGGTGAAGACCCCGAGCGCCCGCGCCGTAGAGCCGCCTCTCGACCCAGCTGCAGGCGGTCGTCGGCCGGGCCCCCCCGCTGGGGCACAGACGGCGGCGGAGCGTCACTGCCAGGGAGCGCTGTGGCGCTATGGAGGGAAGAAGGCTTCTCAGGAGGAGAACGCTTCTGAGAATTAGGAAGTCCAGGGTTCGCTAGGGATTGGTTCCCCTTCCAAAACAACCGAAACCCTCGGACAACCCTCCGGGAGGGGGTACGGGAGGGGTTCCGGGAGGGTTTTCGGAGGGTTGCGGGAGGGTTCTGGAAGGGTTCTCGTCGCTTGGGGTGGGGGCCGCTCCCTGGCGAGCCCGTGGCTTTCTCATCTTCAAAGGCGCGGGCCCTACATCTGCAAGCACGGCCCGCGCCTTCGGAGAAGCAGGGACCTGCTTCCGAGGGGCCTTCCCTCGGCGGTCGGGGAATATGGAGAAACCGCGTGTGGAACCCGTACCCCCCCGACCCGAAACTCGGGTCTTCGGGTCAGGCGACAGATCTGGCGGGGATACCTCCTCCTCCTCCTCCTCCTCCTCCTCCTCCTTTTCCCCCTCCTCCTCCTCCTCCTCCTCCTCCTCCTTCTGCTGCTTCACCTCCTCCTCCTCCTCCTTCATCTCCTACTCCGTCTCCTCCTCCTCCTCCTCCTCCTCCTCCTCGTCCTCCCTCTCCTCCTCCTCCTCCTCCTCCTCCTCCTCCTCCTCCTCCTCCTCCTCCCCCTCCTCCTTCTCCTCCTCCTCTCCCTCCTCCTCCCTCCTCCTCCTCCCTCCTCCCCCCTCCCCCTCCCCTCCCCCTCCCCTCCCCCTCCCCCTCCCCCTCCTCCTCCTCCTCCTCCTCCTCCTCCCTCCTCCTCCTCTCCTCCTCCTCCTCCTCCTCCTCCTCATCATCCTCTCATCATCATCATCATCATCATCATCATCAATCATCCATCATCATCATCATCATCATCATCCATTCATCATCATCCCCCTCCCCCTCCCCCTCCCCCTCCCCTCCTCCCTCCCCCCTCCCCCTCCCCCTCCTTCCCCTCCTCCTCCTCCCCCCTCTTCCCCTCCTCCTCCTCCTCCTCCCTCCTCCTCCTCCTCCTCCTCCTCCTCCTCCCCCTCCCCCTTCCCCTCCCCTCCCCCTCCCCCTCCTCCCCCCCCTCCTCCTCCTCCCCCCTCAAGCCACGTCGGCTCGAGTGGCCCCCCGCAGCGCCGCTCGGCCGTCGTCCCGGGGCTTAATGTGGGGTGGTGCGCCGCTCCCTGCCGCTTGAGGTCTAGGTGCTCCTGGCAACGCCGGGTTGAATTCGTATGCCTTCCACTTCGTTTGCATGCTGCAGCTCTTCGCTTTCCAGGTGGTCTTCCTCGTGTTCATGGGGCTGTGCTACTTCGCTGGCGAGCTCCTGGGCGTGCAGTTGCACGGTGTGCTCATCATGCCGGTACTTTGTTCGAGGCGTTTTTGTTATTACCTGCGGGGCTGGGCTCATTTTCACTGGATTGGTTTTGTTCAGTTGATTTTCTGGTGGGAGTTGGCTCAGTGCAATTTTGATGCAGGGTCGAGGGACGAGCCGTGGCGGCTAGCATTCCCCTCGCCCAGGGCCTGGTGTGCCCTTGTGTCGTATCGGCGGCTGGTGGAGTCATGTGTGCGTTGTCGCGATGTGGATGTGGCCTTCGGCCTAGGCTTTCTGCGTGTCATTCGCATCCTGGCTCTTCTTCGTTGTCGTCTGGTGCTGGCGGTGTTCTTCATCATGTATGCTTGCGCGTTGACGCGCGGCATTGTGGCGGTGTGGTGGTCATGGCTGGCGGCTTTGGTACAGTATTTCAGCTGGGTGTTTCACGTTGTGTGTAGTATCAGTTCCTTCTCTTGCTGGTGGTTGCAAGAAGCGTGAGCTCGCCACACATACCTTGGGAGTATTGCTGGAGTGGCAGTTGTTATTACGCACGGCGGGCAGCATTCGCGCGGGTGTACTTCATCATTGTCTTCCTCGCTTTCGGCTTCCACATGTGGGTGGTGCTGTCGTGAAGCGGCCTGTGTGTGAAGCGTGCCCTTGCCCCGCAGCAGGTACACACGCCAGGAGATATAATAGAATAGAACTCCTCCTCCTCCTCCTCCTCCTCCTCGTCCTCCTCCTCCTCCTCCTGCTCCTCCTCCTCCTGCGCCTCCTCCTCCTCCTCCCTCCTCCTCCTCCCCCTCCCCCTCCCCCTCCCCCTCCCCCCTCCCCCTCCCCCTCCCCCTCCCTCCCCCTCCCCCTCCTCCTCCTCCTCCTCCTCCCCTCCTCCTCCTCCTCCTCCTCCTCCTCCTCCTCCTCCTCCTCCTCTCCTCCTCCTCCTCCTCCTCCTCCTCCTGCTTTTTCTCGACCCCCAATCGCCCATTGATCGCCGACATGGGCCCCGTAGCCCCAACCTGCACAGCAAGGTGCGGCTTCCCTATCGGGGGCCCATCGCCGATCTATCGGCGATGTATCGCCGATTCCAGGTCGATGCATCCCCCCCCTATGCCAGTCCCCCCCTATCGTTGCCCCTGACCACCGGGAAGGGGCCAGAGACTTAGTTGACCGGCTCGCACGAGGGAGCCCGCCAGAGTCGGGAGCCCTGAGACGGGGGTCAACGCAAACGGTTGGCCACGCGCAAAAGGGGGCAGGGCGAGGGGGGAAGGCTTCTTAGAAGTTAGAAACACCCCTGCTTCTTAGAAGGCGCGGGCCTTCTCTAGATGTAGGGCGGGCGCCTTCTAAGAACTCGCAATCGCTCGGACGTCCATTCCCTGTGTTTTGTGCGGCTTCGTGCGTGGCTGTTTCGCCAAATGATCAAGTATGCTCCTCGATGGTCCTTCGCCGAAGGAAAAATGCACACGTCCGAGCGATGCCAAGAGAAGCCGCCTCCTTCGAAGAAGACTTTCCCCCTCCCTGCCGCCTCGTGCGCGCCGCCAAGACGGAGGTCCGCCAGAGCCCCGCACCTTGTCGGGCGGGGCGAGGACGAGGATAAGTCCGTTCCAGAGCGTTCGGGAGCGCTCTCGGAGAGTTCCAGAACGCTTTGGGAAGGCCCCGGCGCCCGAGACATTTTCCAGAGCCGCCAGACCTCAGAGATGTTCGACTTATCCTCACTCGATGTTGTCCTCTTCCTGGCTTCGTCTTGTCTTGCAAGATCCTGCACAGCCAGGGGTTAATGACCCGGGTTAGCGTGCAGGATCTTGCAGGATCCTGCAGTATCTTGCAGGATCCTACAAAACCTGACTGAGCCAGGTTTGGATTGACCTGGGTCAGTAGATCCCCGACGGAGTCGGGAGTGCCTTTCCCCAGGTGATTGGTGAGGCGGCCTATCTGCAGGTTCCATTTCGATCCGATCGATCCGCTTCGATGTAGATTTCGGCAGGCTCGATCCGCTTCGATTCCGACATTCTGACGATGCGATGCGGCCCGACGCTTGCATGGCGCTGTTTTGCACCCTGGTGCAGCCGATCCGATTCGATCTCGACTCCGTGCCGATGCAGCCCGATCCGATGCACATGTCGGCTCGGTTCCGTTTGCCGATTCGATGCTCCATAGCG